AAAATGATATCACATACTCATCACAATAACAATAATAATAACATCGTCATAATCATCAAAAATGGCATAAGCCCTCGTCATTAGGCAAAAGCCCTCGTCATTAACATCATCACATTTTGCATTATGCAAAAATCATCAACAACAATTTATCAACGTCAAAAATCCATGCATTCGATATTAAACGGGAGCATAACAACAATCGCAATTTAATTAATACGGTTACGGATTAATTATTTCACCAAAATATACTCATCATAAAAATCACCTCCATTTAATCGGCATTATTAATAATCTTAAATGCCACGACCGGACCTCCGAAGCACCACTCGAATCGTCCAAATCAGACTCTTTTTCATCAATTATCGGTCTCCCGATTTTCCCGATTAAATCGACTATTTTTAATCTTCGCTACCTAAATATATTTTTCATAATTTAGGAATATTTTTCTGTCCAAAATGGTATAATTTTTACGGTCACCATGCAATTTTATAGTATACTGTAAATTAAATGTATCAGTATAAAAATACTGATACAACAGTGAAATCTCTTGCTAAATTATTTTCTATCAAAAAAGAAAAACTGCTACTGTCAAAATATATTTTGCTACTGTCATACAAAAAAACAAAATATGTGCCTTCCTATGCTTTATTGTTTTTGAACATTTTACAGTCTAAAAATCTAACATAATTTCAACAAAACGACATAACCACATTTACCTACTAATTAAACTTAGTTACCCTGTCAAATTTCGTTAAATTCCGGACAACTAATTATACCGTCTAATTCGGCTAATTCGACCCAAACTGAGCTGTTTTCGACTTTCAGCATCTTGTTACTAATAATACTTTGCTGCTAATTAATCATATCTACCAACAAATTTCAGTACCAAATCCAAGCATCAATACACCATATTATTTTCATTATTATTTTCAGAAAAACACCACAAAATCTCAACCCTAACATACATAATATTTACCACAAATTTATTTATAGAAAGATCTATCAAACCCCTTACCTCAACAATGTTCTTGGTATTTCTTCTTGATTTTTCCTCCACCCAAAACCCTAGCTTTTTCTCTTTGGTCTCCTCATCTTCAAACCCTTTTTTCTTCTTTTCTTTTCTCCACTGTTCTATTGTTTTTCACTATATAACAATATATCTCCTTTTCTCTCTTACCCTACTTCTTTATACCACTTCTTATACTCTCTTATTTTAATATATAATCTTATACTACTTCTATCCCACTTCTTCTATTATTATTTTAATACATTACTACTTTACTACCTCTTTATTATTATAATATATTTATCTATACTACTTCTTTCTCTTTCCACATTTTATATATATATATATATATATATATATATATATATATATATATATATATATATATATATATATATATATATATATATATATATATATATATATATATATATATATATATATATATATATATATATATATATATATATATATATATATATATATATATATATATATATATATATATATATATATATATATATATATATACTCTGCATATTTTTGTTTCTAACTTTCTAACATACATATATATTACTACTACTTCTAACATACATATATAATATACTATACTACTATAATTCATATAATATCATAACACTATATAATAATATATTAATTCCAATTAATCAATTAATATTACTAACACATCAATTAATTAAATAAGCCCGCATAAATAATTTCCAGTCCGATTAAATATCGCCGAAAACGATAATAATTATACCGGCTAAAATATCATATTTTTGCGAAATCAATATTAATTAATAATTTCAAAAATAATAAAATAAATACGACGCAAATAAAATCGGGGCGTTACAGGAACCACATGCCCAAACGAAAGGTGTAACCAAAAACTTGTACTGAAGGATTCATACGCCCCAAACGAAGAATGCATGCAGAGGATAAAGGGAACAATCAAAGCTTGTAACAAAGGAGGGCCACATGCCCCAAACAAAAGAGGCATGCAGGAGGAAAAATATGCGATCGAAGGAGACCAGAAAAGAGGCCTTTGCCTCCTGAATCGAAGGACTTCAATCAAGAGGCTCTTTGCCTTGGAATCGAAGGAGGCTACATGAGACTCTTGTCTTGTGCCTACTGACCTGGTGGGAGCCTCTTGCGTGCAAGAAGGAATCTGTGGCTCAATCGAAGGCTACATATAGTCAACCATCACTTTGTTAGTCAAAGCAAGCATGAAGGGGAATATTTGTCTAGTCAACATAGGCATGCAAGCATCAAACATCCAATCGAAGCAGACACTTAGGCAGCTACTGTATTGTGAATCATATGAGGCCAAAGATGCAATCGAAGGTTGCATGCAGGAAGCTCCTACCTTATGAATCAAAGCCAGCGTACCAGAGGCCCACACCCAGTCGAAGGATGCAAGCCAAGTTTGCATCGAAAGAGGCCAAAAGGCCAATCGAAAGAGATGAATCGAAGAAGGCTTGTTTTTCTCCATTTTGTCAAAAATATTATTTTTATCTATTTCCCCTTTTTTAAAAGCTTCCTCTTTAATTTGATGCTGAAAAATCTAGTTGTACTTGTGCAAGTTTGAATTTTGAGAATCCTTGTGAGAAATGCCTTAAGAAATGAGAGGGCAGATTTTAGGGTACAACAATCACTTCGGGGATTGTGAATTTTAGAACAAAGAGTATTATCTAATGTGATTTAAAACATTAGATTTAATTGCAACTTTGGTCTTCTTATTTAGTTTTTTTTCTTGATTTTGATCTCCCATTTTAAAAACCACAATTTTAGTTCTTTTTTTAAGTTTTTCTTTTGAATTTTCATCCCCTTATTTTAAAAACAATTATTTTGGTCCCCTTTTTTAAATTTTAAGTTGCCATTTTAATCTCCTTTCTAATTCTGATGATGATGAAAAATGGACCAAAATACAAAATAAAACCTAAAAAGGGACTAAAATTTTAGAAAAGAGATCAAAATCATGGTTTTTTAAATGAGGGGACGAAAGTTCAAAAGAAAACTTAAAAAAGGACTAAAAACGTGGTTTTTAAAATGGAGGATCAAAATCAAGAAAAAAATTAAATAGGGGGCAAAATTGCAATTAAGTCAAAATATTAATTGGAGAGTTTTTCAGATTGGTTTGGTCAAAAATGCAAGTAAACAGTTTTATAAAGATAATAAGAAAAACGGTCAGTTTTTATTATCAAAATCCCTTATTTCTACTTGATTAATGAACACACATTAACATACATGCATTGAATGCAAAATTACACGGAAGATTAACACCACCACTACACCCAATCCCTTGGCGTGTAATTCACTATCCTAAACGTCAACTCCCTGACCCCTCAGGCCAACTGTCACGTCAGACTAGACAACATAGCTCATTAATCCCTAAATCACAACTCCTAATCATATTATTCCTAGTCAATTAGAGAATTCAACAATTAAAATATATCATATAAATATCCCTAGGGTCAGTAATCACTATTTATCAAGATCATTTTGAATGTCGTAACAAATAAAAGACACTGTGCACAATCATTAACTGAATAATAACAAAGATTCAAAGCAATTACATTAACATCATCCAATCATATATCACAATCAAGTAAAAACAGATTCATCATCAAATAAAATCTAACTTAAGGGGAATCTAGCTACTCATGTTGAAATTAACCAATACTAATAGTGTAGATTTAAAGAACATGAAGAACCCTTGAAGAAGAAGGTCTTCAATAACTTCAATGACCTCCAAAAGCTCAAAAATCCCTCTAAAATATCAGCTTTTCAAGTCTTTGTAGACGACCCCTTAAAATTTCCTCTTTTTCTCCTTATAAAGCAGTCATAAAAACATGTCAGTAAAAAGCTCCAACACGGCTGCGTTGTCTTTCGCATCATTATTATTCCAATGCGAACACGTTGCTTTATGGTGCGACGCATTAGCACGTAACGTGGACGCATTGGCAGGTAGTGTGAGTGCACGAATTCTAGTGAAGAACAACGTGCTTTTGTCTCTTTTTCTCTAGTTTTCTGCACTAAGTGTTTTTCTTCAATCATAAGTACTTTTTTCTAGCCTTTTCCACTTAAATACTTCTAACTTGCTCAATTCTTGTCAGTATTCAACGATTTTTCTTGTTAAATAACATACACTGATAACCCATCATCACGATCTCTAGATGTCATTTCAACAACACCATAAAAATGTGGTGCGTACTTAGGGCAGTGTAACATGTTTTTGCGACAACACATTTGTTATATAAAAGGGAAAACATATTCAGTTACAAGTGTTATGAATTTCATCATATTGAAGGCATATTTTGAGAGCTTGGAAAAAGGATAAGATAAGCAATCATAGAGGAACTCACCCCTCACCAATTGTAATCTTATTTTGCATTCTTTTCTTTTATTTTTCCATGAACCCCTTAGGGTGAGTTACTAGTTTTCTTATATTAAGTCCTTTTAGATGAGTTTGTCCTAATTTGGGTGAACCATGCGATCTGATTAGATCATGACCTTTTTTTTATTCAATAATTATTTATGTTTAATGCTTTATACTTGTTTACAAATTTGATGTATCCTCAATAGAGGAGTCAATTCAAAATCAAACAAGAAAAAAAAAACTTGAGAACGAGATAAATTTAAGGTCTCATTTACTATAATTTTGTGTGGCTAATATAACTTCCTATACTTAGACTATTTTCGTCAATTTCGGAACCATGCATATTCTGAGAAAACAACACACAAATCATTGTTGTATCGGTAAAAAAAACACAAAACACATTTGTAGATTAGTTACATGTTAGTGAGATAGAAAAAGATCCCATGAATACCTTACCTTGTTTTTCCACAAACATTTATTTGTGAAACACCTAACTTCTATCATGCAAATTCTATCTCTATAGTTCAACCAAATGCATGCAACTTTAACCAGTGTTTGAAGGGATTAAGAAAAATGTTTACGCTTTCACGTTTGAAAAACTGGATATCGAGTATGAAAGGAGGACGGATCGATGATAACATTGACAAACATGTGGCGATTTTGGCGTTTCCGTTTGGAACGCATGCGCCTCCACTTGTTAGCCTAGTTAGAAGAATTGCAGCCGAATCTCCTACGGTTACATTTTCATTCTTCAGCACCGAAAAATCAAATGCTGGCTTATTTTTTGGCACGGGTAATCAAGACGAGTATCTTCCTAACATACATTATTATAATGTTGATGATGGGTTACCGGAAGGTTTTGTGCAATCAGGACATCCTATGGCAGCTATTCAGCTTTTTATTCAAGCAATGCCGGAGAATTTTAAGAATGCTATTGATGTGGCTGTGACGGAGACGGGGAAGAACATTACTTGTTTGGTTACTGATGCTTTTTATTGGTTTGGCGCGGATTTGGCTGAGGAAATGAATGCCAAATGGGTTCCTCTTTGGACTGCAGGAGCTCATTCTCTCCTTACACATGTCTTCACAGATCTTATCAGAGAAAAGCTAGGAGACAATAGAGGTATCATACACAAACTGTTTTCAACAACACATCTTTATGAAATCGGTTTCTAATTTTCTATGCAGTGACGATGTAAAACTTATTTACATATGCATTCTGTCAAATGACACTAATTTTTAACAGATCTCTACAAATAACTAGACGTATGTTTAAAAACCACGGTCGTTTTTTGAGGCAGGCTATACCACACAGGCCTAAGATTTAAAACAGTTAAACCGTGGCTAAGGGTCTCAAAAAATATCTATCCCGATTAAACTATGACAAGATAGGGTCTATATTTGTTTTTCAACACTAAATCGGACCTAATCTATACAGGGCCTCTGAAAACTTAAGATGGCTTTGGTAAAAATGTTTTAAATAATCTACGGTTTATAGAAATGTGATTTGATTTACCTTGTCTTGCAATAGAAAATGATGTCAAAAATGTCGATTTCCTTCCTGGTTTTCCGGAGCTAGAGGTTTCTGATTTGCCCGAAGGGGTAATAGATGATATTAATGGACCATTTGCAACAATGTTACACAAAATGGGACTAGCGTTACCGCGAGCAACTGCAGTTCCTATAAACTCATTTGCTTCAATACACACTGTTATTGAGAGTAAGCTGGAGGCCAAGTTCAAATTGCTGTTAAATGTTGGTCCATTCATCTTGACAACACCGCAACGTATGGTGCCTGACGAACACGGTTGCTTACCATGGTTGAACAAATACGAGAATCACTCAGTAGTGTATATAAGCTTTGGAAGCACGATAACACCCCCGCCTCACGAGCTCGCTGCATTGGCGGAGTCTTTAGAAGAATGTGGATATCCATTTATTTGGGCCTTTAAGGGTAATCCGGAGGAAAAATTGCCAAGCGGGTTTGCAGAAAGAACAAAAACAAATGGAAAAATCGTCGCATGGGCTCCTCAAATAGACATCCTTAAACACTCATCGGTCGGTGTTTGTTTCACACATTCTGGCTGGAATTCGGTGTTGGATTGTATTGTTGGTGGTGTACCGATGATTAGTAGACCATTTTTCGGAGATCAAAGATTGAATGCAAGAATGCTAGATAGTGTTTGGCACATTGGTGTAGGTGTTGACAATGGTGTCTTGACTAAAGAATCAACTATGAAAGCTTTAAAGTTGACTATGTCAAGTGAGACAGGGAACATAATGAGGCAGAAAATTGCAAAACTTAAAGAAGCTGCATTGCAAGCTGTTGAACGAAATGGTAGTTCTTCAACAAATTTCAATACTTTGATAAAAATTATCACTACTTAAAGTTTTTTAAGATTCCTAGTTACTTACCTTCTATACTTTCTAGTGTTAAATCATTTATGTTGTATATAAGAGAATATTAAATGGATCATGCAATTACTTTCTCAACGAGTTCACCTTGGTTTTAACTTCATCAATTGTTGCTCTAGCCACTATTGTATTGTACTTTTTCTAATCACTCTTATAAGCAAAATTCTCTTCTCAAATTCAATGAATAATCAATGTATTTGATCTATATAACTCAGAAAAATCGGTTATTCAATAAACTTAAATTTAAAAAAGATCATATACATCGGTTATTCAATAAACCTATAAAATGCATGACTTTGTTCCATTCAATAGAAATTTTCCATTTCAAGCCAATGATTGTATGCTGGAAGGTGGTTTCTTTGAAGCTATAGAGAAAACCTAGAGGAAAACTACACAAAAAATAGCAACATCACATATAAAGAATCACAAATCAAAGTGAAATTTGACTTTTAATAGACCAAATTGGTGAAGATTGATAGAAAAAATTTACCTTTAAATTTGAAGTTGAGGCTTTGATGGATGAACTCCATCCAACACATCAAACCTACAATAAAACATGGATTAAAAATCAAACCTTCAATAATGTTCTCAAAGCTAATTGAATTCTTTGAGAAACAAAAAGTGAGAAATGGCGGCACACCTTTTTAGAAGAAGAAGAAAGGATAAAATAATATAATTTTTTTTTATCATTTTGTCATTTAAATTTTTTAAATTTTCATCTTTTACTCATATTTCCATCTTATCTAAATTTAGAATAAGTGCACCTCATATTACATTTTTTATTCTAGTGAATAAAAAAATAGTTAATATTGTTTTACCCTCTTTTATATAGGGGACTTCTGGTTTAACTTGTAAAAAAAATTTATAAAATTAATTTTATACGAAGATTATGTTAGTTTAAATCTTGATAAAAAATAACACACTTCAATTGCTTATATGTCATGTTTTATGGTATTTTTTTTTATGGTTTGTCATTTTTTTACATAACACTCGGGCAAATTTATGTCACATCATTAAACGAGGTTTAATTAAATGTGAAAAACGTGAGAAATATTGTAGAGTTATATCGTCTTCTCCAAATCGTCTTTTTCTTCTCAAAATCGTGGTTGCTCGCATCATCTTCTCCCTGTAGTTTGAAATTAGGGTTTGAAATGAAAGGTAGCAGAAATTCATCAACTGAGAATTCTAATGGAAGAGAAATACACATGTGGTTGTAGTCTAACAATGAAGATGTGGGTTTCAAACACCCAGGAAAGTCATACGAGGAAGTTTTAGAGATGCAAAAATCATGAAAAGGTATGTATTATTGGTTCGAAATAATTGATACTTGGTATTATAAATCTCATTCCTCCCCAATTTCTTGTTATCTCAATTGTTTGATTTATTGTAGAGTGATGTAACGTGTGACTTGTTCATCTGACACGATGAAGTTGATGAACTATTATTGAACACTCGAAATAAGGAAATGTTCATAGGTGCATATATGCAGTGTAACAATTTTGAAGTTATAATTGGTTATCTTAAAGAATTTAGCAAAGAATATGAAAAAGAGTTTCGGAAAGAGTTTGTCAAAGAATATGGGAAAGAGCCAAGCTCAAAGAAGGTTGAAAAATGAAGAAGATGCTGCATATTGAAAGGAAGAAAAGTTTTTAGTTGATGGTTGCCCTTATTGTATCACGAATATTGTTTGCTATTGTGTACAAAATAAATTAATTTCCTTGTAGTTTTAGGGCTAAACTTTAATGTAATGTTCTATTTAGAACCTATTGATTTCAATGTAATATTAAAGTCTGGTTTAATGAATGAATGAGATTGAGATATGAATTATAGTCACTGTAATTGATCTTACAGGTGACCAGAACTTATAATGGACCAATATCTACGTCTGTAAGGCTAGAATCATAGAGGAGGGAGTGTACCTTCAAGGCACTCCGATGCTCAAGTAGTAAGGGTGCAAAGAGATACTAGCGAGAACATAAGATTTTAGAAGTGAATATTGAATACCTAACCCTCACAGGTGTGAGGGTTTATATAATTCCCCAAGCATTTGGCATTGGTTCCTATTTTTGGGCATGGATATTAGACCCCCAAAAATAGGTAACTGCCGTGATTTCTACATGAAATCAGGAACGGGAAGCTCGTTATCCTGGGGAGTGGTTCCTGAAACTAGCCATTATCACGAGAAGAGATGCATGAAACTAGCCGTTACCATGAGCAAGGACGCGATCACGGGAAGGTGAGGTCTTGTCGTCTCTGGGGCCGCATGACCATGCAACAAATCTGTCGGGCAGAGGGAAAATGCATCCTTCGCTCGCTCTAGGTTGATTGGACCAATGCTTTTGGATCGTCCGAGAGCATATGTGGATTGGGTTGTGCCTATTCGTTGGCCTAGTCTAGAATAGAGCCCCCCTAAGTTGTTGCTTCTAGGCATATGAGAAATGACTTAGAGTCATCACATGCGTCGAGGAGGAAAGCGCATTGCCGGCATAAATTGTTTGAGACAAAGATGTTTCATTATTTCTTCGAAGACGTGCTCGCATGAGAAACACAAGTCGTCTCCTATGTTCTACGTGCGGGGAGTCAAACAGCTGGTGGGATTTGAAAGGGGCGGCGCGTCACGCTTGTCTAGAACCATGTGCCATTAATTGTGTAATGATTGATATGGGCTAGGGTTTAATGATGACAGTTTATCCCCCTTGGCTTCTGGACGCGTGCACGTGACACTGAGTTAGGTCTATACACAGGAGAAGAGGAAACTCATTCCTAGTTTTCATTTCTTCTTGCTCTCGTCTGCTCTCAGCTTTTTATCCATCGTCACCGCTGCCCACCACCGTAGCAGAACCATATTCGTCCAACTTTTCAGCTTTATTTAATAAGTAAGCTCCCTTTTCCTTTTTGCATTAGGTTTTAACTTATTTAATCTTGCTATAATACATGCTGTTAGTGTAGAAGTTGCGAGTATGGGCGCTGCTCCAGTGGTTGTTGGTGTTTGATGGTGGTTGGGCTATTTTTTCAAATGTCGGTGCCAGTGAGGACGTCAGTTTCCGGTAAGAAACTTAGGGTGTGTTTGTTTAAAGGTTACAACAAATATTCTTGGGAATATGACTATGGGAATGCAATATTCCCATGTTTGATTCAAGTTTTACAAAATTATTTCAAGGAACTTTTTATTCTAAGGAATATTATTTGCACATAGTTTTTTTATTCTTATTCCAAGGCATAAAGGGTGGGAATTCAAGATTCCCATGAGAATAAGCTTAACTACCCATAACTTCCCACTTCTACTCATTATTTTTATTTTTATAATTTTTAAATTAAATTAATTTGTAAACATTCTTAAGAATTTTAATTTTTGTCCAAACACATAAGTGGAAATATAATTCCTAGAAACAATAATCCTAGGATTATAATTCCAAGAAATGTAATTTTATAACTTGAAATAACCACACCCTTAGGGTTTTATGTTTTTGTTGGTTCTGGTGTTGCTGTTATGGCAGCGAATGAGCCTACTACCGGTGAGACTTATGAGTTTCCTAGTGGATTCAACCATTTTCTAGGTTTGCATGAATTTTCCGATGAACCTTATGAATTTTCTGATGATCTTTTTCTGAGGTTCAAAGTCCAGCCATCGGGGAATTTCTTCCTTGTGGGAGTTCTAGGGGTTTTCAATTAAGGAGATTAGGTCTCCCTGTCAAGGAATATTTCCTCGTTCTTGTTGTTGTTAACTAAGGGCTTTGGTAGAGGGTAATGTCCTCGTGCCTTTTCACGCCCTTTCACTTGATTAGCAGTGGAAGGGTGGATTTAATTTGATCGTCAAATTAACTTTTGTCCCCTGCTATTCAGGTAAAATATGGCTAATAGCACCGAGAAGGAGTGCCTATTCTATACAAAGGAAGTTTCCGAGGAGGAATGGGTTTCTCAAGAACCCAGAGAAATAGCATCGTATTTTGCTGACTTCCCCGACAAAGTGTTCACTACTGTCACGGAGGTAGCGGACCCACCAGATCCTGAGGCGGATTGGGAAGTCCACTTCCCCATGGGGGATGAGCAGATTTGCTTGGCCTTCAAGGATGATCGGTTCCCAATGTACGAGTTTATCTTTAAGGAATTAGGACTTCGGTTGCCCTTCACAGACCTTCAGGTGGTTGTCTTCAATCATTTAGACCTAGTGCCTTCTTAATTGCATCCTAACTCGATGGCCTTTCTCTATGCGATTGAGATCGTGTGCCAGTATCTTTAGATTGTAGCCACAGTCCCCTTGTTCTTCCACTGCATCCATCTCCAGTTCTAGTCTTCGGACGGGCAATATGGTTTAGTTTCCTTGATTAACCGAGGATGTTGTTCAAGGCATTCTTAGACTCTGTCTGGACGTTAAAAGATAGGTACTATGTGGTTCGACCAGTGTCGGAGATGGCAATTACCTCTGTCTTTGACTGGGAGCTTATGTACATGAAGGATGGGACTCTCGTGCTCAACGAACGTTGAAAGGAAAAGAAACAGTTGGTCTAGAAGTTTCACTTTGGTTGGGGTCGCGGTCATTTTGATCGTGGTACTGAGTATTATATTGTCAAGTCGGCCCAGCTAGGCGCTGACGACCAAGCTAGTTATGATATGTTGGTTGCTTTTATTGGAAGTTTTACCCCTGCTCAGTGTGTGACCAAGAGGGGGGATATTATCATTGACCGACGCAGGAAGGCTGTGTTCAAGCCCCGACTTATTAACACAAAAGGGCTCCTCGAGTGTGATACCCTCGATGACGTTATGGCGCTCTTAGGTAGCCGTTTTATTATTGATTTGTATGCATGCCATTATCATTATTTTGTTGATCCGTACTTGTTGCTTGTTGCAGGTGAAATGTCGAATCTTCAAGAGCGTATGGTCAGGATGGTTGCAGCCAACAAGGTGAAGTAGTTGAATAAAAATCAGATTCAGAAGAGTTGTCTGGGTGGTGCCATGCTTCCACCTTCAACTGG